GGGTGCTCAGTGGGGGGAGGGTATTTTGGGGTGCCATTGGGGTGCTGTCCCCACGGATGGGACACTTGAGTGCCTGCTCCAGCAAGGTTTTCTGCAAAAAGGTTTTTTTCCAGGGTGAGGACTCCGCAGGGTTGGTGGGAACCCAGCAGGACGTCCCCGACCCCTCGCCCTCACCCCACTGGGACAGGCCAGGATGGGGACAGGATGGGACAGGGACAAGCAGGATGAGGCCAGGGCAGGATGGGGACAGGGAGAGGTGGGGACAGCATGGAATGGGGACAGGGAGGATGAGGCCAGGGCAGTTTGGGGACAGACAAGAGGGGGACAGGACAGGGACAGGCAGGATGAGTCCAAGGCTGGATGGGGACAGGCAGGACAGGGACAGAAAGGGTATTGTGGGGTGCCATTGGGGTGCTGTCCCCACGGATGGGACACTTGAGTGCCTGCTCCAGCAAGGTTTTCTGCAAAAAGGTTTTTTTCCAGGGTGAGGACTCCGCAGGGTTGGTGGGAACCCAGCAGGACGTCCCCGACCCCTCGCCCTCACCCCACTGGGACAGGCCAGGATGGGGACAGGATGGGACAGGGACAAGCAGGATGAGGCCAGGGCAGGATGGGGACAGGGAGAGGTGGGGACAGCATGGAATGGGGACAGGGAGGATGAGGCCAGGGCAGTTTGGGGACAGACAAGAGGGGGACAGGACAGGGACAGGCAGGATGAGTCCAAGGCAGTCTGGGGACAAACAGGGGCCATTTGGGGACAAAAAAGGAGAGGACAGGACAGGGACAGGCAGGACAAGTCCAGGGCAGTTTGGGGACAAACAAGAAGGGGACAGAACAGGGACAGGCAGGATGAGGCTGAGGGTGGGATGGGAAAAGGCAGTTTGGGGACAGGACAGGGACAAGCAGGACAGGTCCAGGGCAGTTTGGGGACAGATAAGAGGAGGACAGGACAGGGCAGGGACAGGCAGGACAAGTGCAAGGTGGGATGGGGACAGGGACAGGATGGGGGCAGGTAGGACGAGTCCAGGGCAGGATGGGGACAGCAAAAAAGGGGACAGGACAGGTCAGGGATGGGCAGGATGAGTCCAGGGGAGGACGGGGACAGGCAGGAGGGCACAGGACAGGGACAGGCAGGATGGGGACAGGCAGGACAGGGACAGGCGGGGGAGGGGACAGAATGTGATGGAGACAGGCAGGAGGGGGACAGGACAGGACAGGGACAGGCAGGACGAGTCCAAAGAAGTTTGGGAACAGACAAGAGGGGGACAGGCAGGACAGGGACAGGCAGGACAGGGACAGGCAGGATGAGTCCAGGGCAGGATGGGGACAGGCAGGAGGGGGACAGGACAGGGACAGGCAGGAGGGGGACAGGGACAGAATGGGATGGGGACAGGCGGGGGGGAATGGGACAGAGACAAGGACCGGCAGGAGGGGGACAGGGCCGGATGGGGACAGGCAGGAGGGGAGGGGACAGGACAGGTCGGGGACAGGGAGGAATGAGACAGGGACAGGGCGGGATGGGGGCAGGCAGGAGGGGACAGGACAGGACAGGACAGGGACAGGCAGGACGAGTCCAGGGCAGGATGGGGACAGGTAGGAGAGGGACAGGGCAGGATGCAGCTGGGATGGAACAGGGACAGGCAGGGGGGAATGGGACAGGACGGGGAAAAGCAGGATGAGTCAAGGGCGGTTTGGGGACAGGCAGGGGGGG